AACATTTGCATACAAAACGACATAACCCGTTAACCTAAATACAGCTTTGATAAATGACAGAGCTCAAAATGACCCAGTTTTCACAAACAGAGAAAAACAGCAGGTGGAAATTTCCTGAACAGCCTCTCAGTGCATTACTGCACTCACTAACTCTAACTAACACTTGAAATAACAAAGGTAATATATATATATATATATATATATATATATATATAAACATTTGCTGTGTATTTTCTAAATACTGCACCAGTGTCAACACTTGCAGAAAACACACATCCAAACTGTAGTGTTCAGACCCTTGACTTCAGCCTGTAGATCTAACCAGTGGTTTGACTGAAGCTGAAGCAGCCAGGGCTGGTAATCCTCTCTTCCTGCCCTGTGAGACTCTAATCTGGTTTCATCTGTTACTCTGACCTGTGGCCAAGATCTGAAGCCGATTAGTATGAAGGTTCCTCAGCCTTCAGTCATCAGCAACAGGGTCAAAAAACAAAAGCAGAAGCCTCAAAGAGGAAAAGGATGGAAAATGAAAAAAATAATAATAATAAAAAAAAAATTTAAAAGTCTCCTCCCCTGATAAATAAAATGGAGTGCAGATCTATGTTACTGTTAGTTTGCTCCATATGAATAATTATATTAACATAACATTATCTTTATACTATCTTTACACAGCCAACAGATCATAATATGATTTGTTTTTAATTTGAAAGTATCACAAATTAATTAAAAGTGTAATATTTAACTAATGTTATAATTTTGACAATTAATTAGTGACTTAATGTACTGGAAGAATCGCGGGTTTAAGTGTTGTCTCTTGTGCATTTTTAGGTTGACCTAATTTTTTTTCATTTCATTTTCTGAAGAATTTCGACGTCATAGGTCAAAAAAAAAAGCACAACCGACTGCACTGTACAAGTGTTTGACAATCGTCGTGACAGATATAAACGCAGCATTTGAGTTGTAGCATGTAGCGAACATAGCTGCTATAGCTACACCTTTTAAACGGCAGCAAAGTAATTAATGGTTGAGACGTTACCTGTTTTAAGTCAGTATTATTATTTCATTCCTGTTCCACAAGGGTAGGGTAGCGGAGTGACACATTTTATGATAAGATTTTATTAAGATATGCGGTCGGTTGTTTGGTTTTAGCTCCGCCAACAACAAGTTCCGGCCAAAGGTTTGCTACTGCTCAACAACAATTGGATGTTGATGAGTGCAATTGCACTTTCCAGACGACAGAGGGCATACCATGCAGAAAACATCAACATAAGCGGACGTGGTAGAAGGCCATGACACGATCGAGTGTCTAATCACGTCTGTTACGTATGGCCATATTTGTCATCAACAACCAATCGTCGATGCGCAATGGCACATCATATTCTGTTTGAAAATTTAAATCGCACATAAACAACCAATCGTCGATGCGCAATGGCACATCATAATCTGTTTGAAATTTAAATCGCACACAACAACCAATCATCGATGCGCAATGGCACATCATCTGTTGTTTACAATTTAAATTGCACATCAATTGCAATTGCTCTCTTTCGTCAGCAGAGGGCAGACAAACCTCTGGCCGGAAGTTGTTGTTGGCGGAGCTGAAGCCAAACAACCGACTGCACTCTTAAAATCTTATAAAATGTGTCACTCCGCTAACCTACCCTTGTGGAACATGAACGAAATAGATATCTTTCGATAGAAGAAAAACGAAATACAACGTTAAAATAATGATGTATTGATTCAAAATAAGTTTATATCTGAACATTTATTAATATCGCTACTGTTTAATATCCGCGTAGCTAAAACAGCTTCGCTACCATCCAGCTTGAATGCTGCGTTTTTATCTGTCATGACGATTGTCAAACACTTGTAGAGTGCAGTCGGCTGTGCGCGTTTCTGCAATGTCGCCAGAAGACGGCGACATTATGCAGAAAATAAAACTAAAAAAATTAAACAATAAGACCGGCTTATTTGGTCAAAATGGAGGAACAATACTGGGCTCTGAATATGTGGATGTTTTTTGCTGCCAAACAACAGCAATAATAATAAAATTATTATTAAAACGATTACTATCATTAATTATGAAGTCAACTGGGTGTTTTCTAGGCTACCGATTAAACATTGTATTCATATACGTTGTAGTATTAATTGTACTAATACATATACTAATACATATGGCCGTATTTGTCATCAGCAACCAATCGGCGATGGGCAATGGCACATCAGCGGTCGGTTGTTTGGTTTTAGCTCCGCCAACAACAAGTTCCGGCCAAAGGTTTGCTACTGCTCAACAACAATTGGATGTTGATGAGTGCAATTGCACTTTCCAGACGGCAGAGGGCATACCATGCAGAAAACATCAACATAAGCGGACGTGGTAGAAGGCCCTGCCACGATTGAGTGTCTTATCACGTCTGTTCTGCTGCTGGAACATTCACAATAACGCACTCCATGCACCAAGCATCTCGACACCTACACGCGACACTAAACACAGCCGAGCAGATCTGCGGGGTGAGACCAGCCTGTCACCCCCCTTTTGACAGCCCACGCTGGCGAGTCAAAAGATGGTTTTAGACTGTGTCCTGCTACCTCCTCTCAGCTCCTACTCCAAGCATTGAAAAAGCTGCAGGTCTTTAGAGTAAAGTAAAGACAAACATTTGCTATTAAAAAGATATTATTTTTAACACAGTGAAGCTACTTAGAGCTTCCAGAGATAGTGGTTGATTGCGGGAGAAACAGAACTCCTGTTGACCTAACGGATTCTGTGATTCATTGTCAAGTGAAAACACTTGATGAACACAAAGGTAACGCTGACAGCGGTAGCCTGCGTCACTCAGTCCACCCCCACATCACTCTGCATCATGTCACAGTCAATGTGACCCACTTTCTTGGGCCAATCCCTCGTCAACTCCTGCTCCACTCCCTGTTTCACTCACGGTGTTTCCTTTCTGCAGAAAAACCGGCGAACCCGTCAGTCACGGTGTTAGATGGTTAAAAAAACATGACTTCATAAGGAGTGTCATGAAGTCAACTGGGTGTTTTCTAGGCTACTGATTAGACCCTGTTTTTTTTTAATATCTGTTGTATTATTTATTGTCCTAATTCTCTGACTCAGATTGCATGTGGTTTCAATAAATATATTTCCTATATATTTTTCCTGTCTGTCACACCCTGTCATGTTTCAACTCCCTGCGTGGGCAGTGTGAGTGAGTGTGAGTTTATGGCAGGTTAAAACAGGGCACACTTTAAGAAACAAAAACACAATAAGGCCTGATGGGTAAGGGCCGAGGCAAAACTAGGTTAGCTAATTATTAGTCACTGAGTGACAGGGGCGGGAAAGTGGTCAGCGGCAGAGCAGCCTCCGTGATGTGAAACATGGAAACAGCTTGAGTGAAATATAGCAGTAACTATAAACAAATATAACAGAACTCTGCTTTTATTATTCCAGGCTCTGACTTTTTTTTCATCTCCCGTGCACAGCAGTATGCCAGTGTTTTCAGCACAAAGACATGGATATTGTGTGAGTGTGACTGAGTGCCCATGAGCCGCTGTTGTACAACAGGGAGTGCCTGTTACACTGCTGTCTGAGCTGTGTGCAAGCAGGAACCAGGGAGTGGGAGCGAGTGTTTGTGCGAGAGGGGATTTCTTTAGGCAAAAAAAAAAAAATTAAAAAAAACATTGTGTGCGTGTGTGTGTGTGTAAGGCAGGAGGCTAGGTCAATTACCTCAAGATGTTGAAGAAAGAACAGACACAGTCTGAACAGTCACTCTCGCTCTCATTTCTCTGCACAAAGACACCCAGTACAGTAAGTTCCAAGAAATCTGACCTCATTCTCCACAGATCTTTTTTTTTTTGCATACAATAACATCTCCATTACAAACCACATTTTAAAGTTTGGAGAGGATATTACATTTATACTGGAATGGAGACTCTGTAGCTGGAGGCCCTGCTGCCTTATGTCAGGGCAGCAGGAGATAGTTTGCGTTTGAGTCAGGTTTGAAGCTGTGTTTCATTCAATGAGCGCCGTATTATGTAATCTTCTCATTGTTAGTCAAGTCAACTGTTTACTTTGACAAAGACAGACACTGTACAACAGCACGTTAGAGCAGGTTGGTCTATCTGACAGGCCAACAACCTAACATTAACCCAAAGAAATGTACAGCGGTCCCTCGTGAAAAACCACGATAATTATTATTTAAGTTTATATTAACCCTTTACAAACCCTGTAGGAGATATGTGTGTTCCAAAATGTCTTTTCATTTATTTTCTCTTACTATACTATTTTTCTTACTATTTGTTTTTCTTCTTAGGCTAAAAAAAAGTATCACAAAATAATAAAAATACTGCAAAAAATCCACAATACAATAATACATTTAAATAAATAAAAAATCTACAATAAACCGCAACGCAGCGAGGGACGATTCTATGTTCTTCCTGGGTTCATGGTGGTCGACGCCCAAAGATTGTCCTTTAGAAAAATGCTACACAATTTCTCATTTTCCCACAGTGTTAGACAGAGCACAAATATCAAACCAAAATTGTCTCTGACCAGAACATTAAGTTTAAATTGTATCAGTGACTGCATGTGGTTTTGGGGCAATTTCCAGGTGAAGCCACAACAATGGACTAAGTTGTGGCTCCAGAGTCAACTATTGAAGGTTTGACCTTTGATTAGTCATTACTATAATCAGCACACAGATGCTTAAAAAAATGAGGTGGAGGAATAAGTGCTCTTTGATAAGTTGTAGATGTGTTTTCCTTTGCTGCTGATTTACCACAAGTACTGAGAAATGACAAGAGATTACCACAGAAAAATCCATTCTTTTAATCCTTGGCCTGTGATGTCAGGAAAATACTGCTTGATTTCAAACAAATGACTACCCTTCTAAACCATAAGTGCTGTGGCCGGTCCAGGCTGAAAAGGTCGACACAATTACGTTTCCCACATCGCTGCACTTGGCACCAAGTGTCAGAATCAAATACAGTGTCCCATGAAAAGCCGTCGATTGAAGCCCAAACTGACGACCTACGAATCGCCAAAACCCTGGTGGTCAACACTGAGCACAGCTTTTGGAATGAAGCTCAAAACGAATGTGGAAACGCAGCCATCACTGGCTGGAAAAAAAAGTCACAGAAACCACTGGTGCTGGACACTGACTCAGAGACTCAAGTATGAAATACTTTCTCCTACTAAGTACTTTAAGTACTTATATATGATTATATCGACATTTAAAAAATAAATAAAAGTAGTAGTAATAGTAGTATATTTTTTTTTTCTAATTTTCTTCTCAGTAGCTTTTCCACAACTTTTATCTACATTTCCTGCTCTCAGCGTCAAAGTAAATTAATCTGATAATCCTGGTTACACAAAAAGGTCCTGACGGAGAATCGTTACTGAATTAATTCCAATTCTCCCAATACGCCACAAGTTACACGTTTAATGAAGCCCCCAGTAGAGTGGTGGTCATATGGGGCTCTTTAATGTAACGCGTGTCTATTGAGTTGAAATTAAAGACCACTCCAGATCTCTTATGGTCACGTATCGATTTGTCCGTCCAAATCCTTAGCGCGAGGGAGGAGGCGAGAGGACGGGGGGGAGGGGACGGAGAGGATTAGTTTATTTATAGTTATTCCAGCAGGCAGCAACACAGACGTGTCCTGCTGCCATTACACATCCACACCAGCAGCAGAGTGTTGCTGCCTGTCCATTCAACTCTTCATCATCATCATCATCATCGTCCCTGCAGGTCCAGTCAACGTGTTCATGTGTCGAATCAGAGCGCAGCAGTGATTTCAAAGTAAGAGTCTGGGATGAAGGCTGGTTCAAACTGTCAGTACTGCATGTTACCTGGCGTGAGGCGAGACGCACGGTTTGTTTGTCTTCAAAGATGATGAGGCCACGTCTAAGGCCGGTGCCCCGTGACCTTAATCTTTTGATTAGGCTGGAAGGATGGCAATCTGGCAGCTGGTTGGGTTAAATCTTCTGAAATCAAAGCTGCTGGGATTTATTTTGGCCAACGCTGTTAATTACTGACCATGTGTCCATGTATTAAATAGATTAACAGCCTTTGGACGAGAACTGCATCTGAGCCGCGGTCATGAACCAATCAGTGCACCAGCAGGTTACAAACTATGGCCACATCATTTTTAAATCATGCATTACTGATGCATTTCAAGATTTTTTTTTTTTTAAGATTTTACTGGATGGTCCACCTGTCAATCACAAGCAATGTATGAACTTTTTCAGGGTTGCCAGTGAGAAGTCTTTCATGGAAAATGACTGTCTTCTTCTCTGCTTCCATTTACACACATTTATTTTATACACCATCAGTATACTTAAGGTCTTTTTCTGGGTCTTTAATGCTGCCAACAGTTCATTTCTAATGGAAAGTCTTAGACTGAGACTGAACTCACCGCAGGCTGTGCTCCAACACCAAAGAGAAAATCTTCCTCCTGTCTCATGGAGTGACCGTGGCTGCTGACCCTAAATATCTAGGGTCAGCAGTCGCGACTACATTCCTCTAAATCAGTGGAGCAGACAGGATTTACAACCTGACACAGAGCAGCATGTGGCTGTTAGGTCTTTGACTTTTGGACCCTTTTTACAGCAATAATAAGTATCAAGTTAAGTTAAAAAACATTTCAGCTTCATGTAGAGAAAATGGGTAAAATGTAAGACAAACAGCAGTTTAGCTAATGCATGTGATAAAGCGCACGTACACAGACCCGACAGTGCCTAGAAAAGGCTTTCGCAGCAGAGGTTTAAGAGACGGCTGGCTTTACCTCACACAGCCTACAACAAACCACAGTGAGTAAACAAACACCAGAGAGCACTGTGGGTAGGAAGCTTCCCGCCCAAAGCTCACGGCCCTCTTTAACCTCATTCCTCTCCACGTTACCACGGTTTCGCCGCCACAAACCCAATGGTTGTCTCATTTGCATACATCTGCATACCTCGCCGTCCTTTTAAACACTGGCCTGACTGACTGCTGCGCTGGCGACGTCTCAGGTTATGTAAGTGCAGCACAACAGCCAGTGATTAGACGGTGAACGTACGACCTCCGGAGCCCTTCATTACGGGTCTGTAAATTCCTCCTGCAGCACAGGTTCGGACACATCTGAGGGTCTTTCAACAATGTGGAAAATACGTTTTTTTCCTCCTTTCCGATGACGTCACACAATGATTTCATTTCCCTTACATAAGTTATAGACATGCCAGATGTAATTCCAGTACTAATGAGTAGGACTAGGAGACCAGGCATGAGTCAACATGTGGCGCTGCTATATAATCCAAACGCTGAGATAATCTTGTTGCCCCGGTGCTTTCACTGCTATATGAAAACAAGGCGTTGCTTGTGCCAGCATGTAGGAAATCCCACCAAAAATATGGCATGTTGTTGGGATAACTGTGTGATGTTTGTCGCTTGAGAAGTTGTCAAAGCTCTTAAAAAAAAAAAACAAAGAAACAAAAGCTTCTTTATCTGCTGGTATTGTCTGCACAATCACCAACTATTTACAAGTGCGCTTAAAGGATTTCTGAAGAGCTATTAGCAAAACAATTGCAGCAAAGTGAACGCGGTATTACGTAAGTCCACACAAATGGACTTGATGAGTCTTGCGATCATCGCTCGACGGCAGAGATTTGAGATGCGGTGAGGCTAAGCAGAGGTGACAGCTCTTATAAACTGCAGTGGTCATGGGAAGAGGCCTTCGGAAAAGGAGCGGGGAGACCTACAGTAGGGACACCACGGATACTGTGCAGACGGACCGACACAGGCATAATGACCAGGGGAATTCTATTATGTCCCATTATTAATGCGAAGCACCGGCTGCATCCAAGACTCCTGTGAAGAGGAAAACTCAGCTAGCCAGGAGTCATTATCCACTCCACTGCACTCCACTGTGTTCCTCCGGCTTATTTTTCAACTCACAATCACTTTGACCTCCCGCCGAGGAACAGCCTCCGTGCCAAACTCTCAGACATCCTCCGTTCTGTCCGGCTGAAACATATTCAAGTAGGGACAGCGAGCCAAAAGTGCCCTCACATCCACAGGGACGGGCTATTTTTACACCACCGTCGCCATAAAATCTTAAGGAGAAGTCATACATTAGTTCATGAAGTGTCTGCACACACAGACACTGCTGGGGAAAAAAAAGATCAATTACATTTAGAAAGAGTTAGGTGTATGCTAATTCCAGGGATTTTTTTTTTTTTTTTGTGCAGGAAAACACTGTACAAGCTCAGACAAGCAAACGTTTAGGCCACTGTTTCTGTTGCCTGCCGAGACGAACCGCCCAGAAAAACAAATCTCTTTGCACGACTCCCTGTCAGTGGTCAACAAGCATTCCCAAGGAGTCCGTTCTAATTGTGTCTGATGTGTTTGTGATGATTGTCTTTTGCCAAGTTTGGATTTTCTAGCCCCCGTTGGAGACAAAGAACCATTAACACACACACTATTTGCCTTTTGAATGAAAGTTTAAATAAATTACTACTAAACCACTAACTTTTTTATTGCAATGTACCAGTATAAGATGTTTTATTTTCTGGAAATGACTCTGGAAATGAAACGACTCAATCTACGCAGCGACGTACTCTGTTTACTGCTCACTTAATTAAGAAAAAAATATGCACAGACAATGTTAATTGGTTGGATATTATTTTCAAAAATAGCCCACTTTGATGTAAGCGCATGATTTATACTTTATTCACTATGAAATTAGTATGGAATTGGGACAATGCTCAAAGCATGATTTAAAAAAAAACACACAGATGCACACATTCACTTTGTTCATCCAGTGTTGGTGCAATCCGATCAATAAAAAGACCCAACCTGGCTCCAATCAGACGGCAGTGATTAATCACACCAGTTAACATCTATGGCAATTTGCAGCTAATGAACGGCTTCATTAAGCCTCACTGCTCCACAAACCGAGCCTTTAGGTGATAATGATATTAACAACTGCTGCCTGTGTCAAACACATTTACATTTTAAGGGCCATGCATTGGATCACAGATGGAGTACACAGAACGAACATCATTACATACTTCACTGTAGTATTTCCATCTAAAACCCACCTCTGACTTTGTAGCCGTTAGTTTATTAGCGTAGCTTGCCCTGGAGCGACTGCGCAAGCGGACACACACGCACACATGCAGTATACAGAGGGAAGAGTCACGAGAACAAATTCCATTAGCGAGTGAGACCAGGGGTTTACGGCCAGATGGTTAACCTGCCCTGAATCGACGATCGCGATGGAGACTCCATCTCGCACGCACGTTCACTCACACATGTATAAATACCTCATAAAACCTAATGGAAAGTCATCAAGCGGTAATTTTATTACAGGAGACCTCCCTGACACCCCATCATCTGCTCATCAAGTCAGGCTTTCTCACTTTATGATGCATGGCCGTCATTTACACAGCAGGGCGGTTGCAGAGGCTGTTGGGTTGGATACGTCTTCTGACAGGAGCTCATCAATCTCTCAACCGCTGCCTTTGAGGGAGGGTTGGGGGGGGGGCTTTTTTGGTGTCTGTGTCTCATAAATGAAATGCAAAACAGCAGAATGTGTTCCTGAGCGATAAAAATCAAACTGTTTCTGACTGGAAAATGAGAAACCGCAGCGGCAGGAGCTGACGTTATGCCACCGGAGTCCAAAAGCTACTGAACTGGAGCATGTGGTTGATGAAAATATTTTCAGTATTATAGGACAGGGATAATTTTCTGTGATAAATCCCCCGGCATCTAACCTCTGTGCAACCAATGTCTTGAATATGAAATTGCTAAATCATGCAAAATTCTGCTGGTAAAGCACAACAGCTACACCAGGCTGCAACGTTCAGCAGTTTGACTGGATAAATGACTCCAGCAAATGTTGAGCAGTGAACGTGAGGGCAAGATAGCTCAGACCTGTTTTTTTTTTTTGCTGTTGGGTGGGATACGTCTTCGGACAGGAGCTCATCAATCTCTCAACCGCTGCCTTTGAGGGAGGGTTGGGGGGGGGGCTTTTTTGGTGTCTGTGTCTCATAAATGAAATGCAAAACAGCAGAATGTGTTCCTGAGCGATAAAAATCAAACTGTTTCTGACTGGAAAATGAGAAACCGCAGCGGCAGGAGCTGACGTTATGCCACCGGAGTCCAAAAGCTACTGAACTGGAGCATGTGGTTGATGAAAATATTTTCAGTATTATAGGACAGGGATAATTTTCTGTGATAAATCCCCCGGCATCTAACCTCTGTGCAACCAATGTCTTGAATATGAAATTGCTAAATCATGCAAAATTCTGCTGGTAAAGCACAACAGCTACACCAGGCTGCAACGTTCAGCAGTTTGACTGGATAAATGACTCCAGCAAATGTTGAGCAGTGAACGTGAGGGCAAGATAGCTCAGACCTGTTTTTTTTTTTTTTAAGCTGAAGCAAGAGTCCCCACTGTAGAAATGTCACAAAGGCAGAATGTTTTCATTTACTGCTAATTAATTTGACTAAGATTAAAAGAAGCTGTTTAAATGCCTGCATTACCTCCAACACCGTAAGACATCAAGGTCATGTCGACGGCATAACAACAAGACGGCACAGATGGGTCTGACCCCGCTGAGACTCTTGGGTCCACGGCACAGACAGCTGTCCAGGCACTTAAAGACCCTGTGGTCCCTCCGACTCCGTGGACCTCACTGACAAAGAGAGGTCAACGGGTAGATAAGTGACACAAACTGTTGGAGAGTGTGAGGAGGACAACGGTTCCAAAGAAGCTGCATGAAACCAGTGATTTTCTTGCTTTCTCACATTTCCCTAATGCATATCCCAGACTCTACTGTAGATCTTGTGATTTACAGTGACTGTCTCAATTATTTCTGACAGCAAAGAGCCTCTCTCTCTGTCTCAGAACAAGAACTCTAAATCAAACATCCACTCAGGTTTTCTGTCCATGCGTTGAGTCCCAGGAGAACACAATAGCCAGTGCTCACAGACACTCGTACCTGATTTATGTAACCGATTCACTGTTATTATGACATGATGATGGTGTGCTCACTTTTCCTTACGTCCAAGTTTCTGTCGTCGTGCTGTCCTGGTTGACATGTGCAGGAAATTTAAAGGAATGTCAGGGACACACCCGAGAGCTATTAACAACTGCACCGAAGCAATAAAAAGACAACCGTCAGTGTTCCAAAAGTCGAGCTCATAACTCTTTGTAAATAAGTTAGCTTCTGATTACCGCCGACGCGCTTTATGGTAGCAAAACATTCAGCAACTGGAGACTGTCACAATCTGGATCAAATGAAGAGCTTACCTGGTTAACCAATAGTTAATGGTAAGTACAAACCAAATAAGGTGCTTTAGTACTCTCTGTTTCCAGAAAGTACTGAGCAACATCAGTTGATCCATATCTTCTCTTATTGTTGCTCAAAAATCACATCCGTTTCCACCTGTTCTTGTCCATTTCACTTCATCTCTCTTCATTTGTTTTTGCTCAACTCTCAGCTATCGCTCTTCCCTTTCGCTCTTGTTCTGCTCTATCCCATCACTTGCAGATGACTGCAGAACCCCCCCCCCCTCTAATTCAATGTAAACACAACAGGACTTTATCTGCTGCTTTTGATTTCACACAGCTTAGCAGGAGTTCTGTGACGTGTCTCCCAGCACTTTCCAACTGGTCAACAGCTAACTCCGACATGGAAACTGCTCAGTATATACATTTCATCACGTCCCACATTGTACAAATAAAGCATGTGGCCTGGATGAGAGGGAAAATACTAATTGATAACACATGACACAGCCTCCCTCTCTCTTTCTCCTCACTCGCTCTTCATTCTTTTCCATTTTGCTTAAGTTAATGACCACATTCATGTATTTACGATATAATACGATGCTTGGACAAACACAGAGCCAACATAACACGCAAATACCTATAAAGATAGCTCGATAAGCCACATCACATGATACAAAAAAAAAACAAACAAACACAAGAGCTTGGTATCCTAGCAACAAGCACGGAGAATTAGCTGCTCTACAGTATCCTACGCTGCTTGTGGACCTTCAACCCTACATCTGTTTTTTTTTTTCTCAGGTCTTTTTTAACAACACAGCAGTCGTACTTTTCATAACTGCTCGATCCTTTTGTTTCCTGTTAAGATACCTTGCTGCACTACCACTGATAAGAGTGGCTAACCAAGTGATTGACCCTTGAATCTCAGAGTACCTTGGCAGAGCCAAGGAAGGTAAGAAGAACAAGGAGGAGATAACGGCTTCTGACACTAAGATCAAGAAAATAGAGATGGGCAGAAAAGCGAGATACCCACAGGGCAAATGTCAAATGTTCTTCAAATGTCACATAAGACCAGGCTTTTTCTGCATTTCTTCTGGCACGTAGCTTGGCAGTTATTGAGCATCACTGATGCAAAACCGCCATGTGGAGTTGTCAAAAGGTCTGACTTTAACTTTTAGGCTGCACCACTTAAACATAAAGGCTTTAAGGTTCTAAACTGAGACGTCCAGGACTCGGGGTTATGAGGTTGCACGCTGCTTAATGAGAAACAGTGAAGTGTTGATGCCTGACTCAAAAAGTGCTGATGCCAAACTCTCCTAAAAACAGCAGCGGAAAAGAAAAAAAGAAACGTCAGACTCGTGGTACCAAGGGGTGCAGATGGAAGAAAGAGAGAGGAGAGAAACTGGCTGCTTATAATTGGCTGTCAGATGTATCTTCTCTCCCTGCCTGTGAGTGAGAAATATGCCATGTGAAGCTACAGCGGCACCAACACGCCTCTGTATACACAGACAGAGGCTAACTGCAACAGAAAATAATCTTCTTTTTTTTTCAACTCTGCAAACTAGAATTTAAAGCATCATACAAATAATCTGACAATATTTGTCCAACTCACAGCTAATGCTGATGGACTGTAACCTCATCATCAAACAATTTCCTTTTCCCCCTGCCTGCACTTTCAACTGATTACCAGCTCCATCCTCTAAGCTCTTTATGATTGCAACCGTCATACCCCTTCAAACTGCGTAGTCAAATAAATCATGGTTTTGATCAGTTTATCATCAGGGTGTCTGGATAAGAGCTTAAGTCCTAATACATTTTTTATTGAATTTTAAAACCATTCATTTGGAGCCGGCAATCTGTCATAAAAATCACAGCGGCCACAGAGGAAAAAGAAAAAAATAATATCAACATATTACGTTTATATTTTCATTTCTTATTTTAATTGCTCATGACCTACCATCACGTCACCTGGTAATCTCCTGGTAGACCCCCATTTTTATCAGACACCATTGTTTTGTTTTTTTCACAGTTGCTCAATTACATCTACCGCTACACAAGAATAATTAATCACAACAAGCCGCCACGCACTAACATTTAATTCGACCGATCTCCTGTCATGTCAGTATTTCAACCACTGCTTTCTTTCTAAGATAAATTTAGCATTGAGAATAGCTGAGTGGTTACATGAAACCAACCAACCAAAAAAAAAAAAAACATCACCCTGAGAATGAAGCAATTGCAACGAGGCTGTGCAATTTATTCCAGATGCTCCAGATGACCGTCAGTGCTCAACATGATCTCATTCATTCTGAAAGCACCGCAGCCAGCTAAACATTTCTGCAGGCGCTCCAGTTATGCAAAGTTATAAGTAGGACTGTGGAGTGGTTGTCATTAGGCTCCACATTTTTTAGGATGGGAAAATGAAACAGGGTTTCCAGTCAGCTGAAAGTGACACTCAGACAAAAAAGTCATTGTAAAGAAACATTTCTGTTGGTCTTTAAACAGACACGTAGGTCGGTCGTATTTGAAGGGCTTAGACAAAACAAACAGTAACTCTTAATCTGCAAGTTTAGAGAGAGGTGACCGTGCCGTTTAAATAAGAGAAAGAAGGAAACATCTGCTGACTCCAGTCTCCAATGTCACCGTAAACCAAACGCAAAGAGCTGACAGGCCAGAAAATCTAGATGAACACCTTGTTTCTCCCAGGCCACGAGGACAGCTGATGAAGAGGCATTCTGTCTGCAAGTTGCTGACTTTTGACAACACGGGAGCATTACACTGTCATAGGGGTCATGGAGGATGTGGCATTGACAATACTGAATTTGCTGATGAGTGAATTTCTGGAGCAGCCTCCTGATTCATATTGGTCACCCTCTGGTGTCTGTCCTTTGAGCGCTCGTCCTGGGAGCGCAGTGCCTCCCAATAAAGTTAACATCCGTCCATTGAGGATGAGCTGACAATAGAGGAGAGAACAAGTGGACATTCCTTTGCATTGGCCTATTCACTGCAGCCAAGCAACAATGAGGAAGGCATTCCTACAAGTGAAGGACGGACAATGTAAAGAACAACATGCTACCACGACTGGGGATAAATACAAGACGGAATATAAAACAGACTGATACGTTATGGGTGTAGTACACTCATAGGGAAATAACAGGTACTCTTTAAATAATATTAGGAGGGCAAATCCTGTGTTGAGACTGCCATCTTGGATCACCATGGTTACGCATTTGCATGTTTGCTGCGTTTTTTTCTGAAGTGCCACTTTAGATTATAATCTACATCTAGATTATGTCTAGTCCACTTTGGTAACAGCGACTCTTTATTATTATTTTGTTTAGTCTAAAGAAAAATGTATTTATTTTATTAGTCTGTACCTAACTACTAACTACTAAAGTGTAAATAACGGCAAATACACACACACAGATGTCCACGAAAAACAGCCATACACACAGTTGACCTCCAACCGGCTGGCATCACTCTGACTATTGGTCAGCCAGCACAGAGAGGGCGACCAGGTCAGAATCCACCCCCATCCCCCTCCTCTTTACTTGCCTCCGCTTCAGTGACTCTTAGACTAAAGCATGTCCACCATTGCCCCAATGATCGTTGCTGTTGCCTTGGCAACAACCCAGCCCAGCCCCTCCAACAGCCAGTTAGCCAGTGAAAAGAAAAGAGGAGACAGACAAACACGGGGGAGTTTAAGGATGCTGAACTTTACTGCAACTATCGTCATTTAAAACTGCATATAAAAACTTTCTGAACGGAAAAAAAAGAATCTGTAAAAACATGTTTTTGTAAAAAAAAATGTTTTGTTATTTGTTATTACTGTAACAACGGACAACTCACGCTGACTCAGTAACCCCATTGTGTCGTCTGAGTGCAGTCTTGATGGGAATAAATCGGCAGAGCAACCACTGCAGGTGGATCGTGACAAAAGGCCCCGACATTTATTCTCTTCAGTAGAAGATGAGGTAAAAGTTCAAACCGGGGACAAGGAAACATCCGCGTCTCCATCTGCCTGTTGAATGCCTGCTGTGTCACAACCAGGAGGGAGAGAGAGAGAAAGAGAGAGAGAGACCCAGTTTCTTCTTTGTTTATCCAGGAATGTGGGACACACTGACTGGCCGGCTTTTTATTCACTGGGCTGCTTTCTCTCAGCCTCTAAAGTATTTTTTTTTAGTCCATTATCTGCATTTCCAGCTGACCCCACCACAGCCCAGCGAGTATGATAAGCAGCACAGGACAAACAAGTACTACTATCAAAGTACCTGCAACTCTCGGTACACTTCTCAGTGAACTTTATTTTATCGAAGCTGTGCTATTTGATCCTTAAGAACGTTCACATGTGCACACCATGGAGGTACAAATATAACCTTGGCTGCAAAAGTGCAAGTATGAATCTTAGAAAACAGAAGCAGGATTTCACGAGTGAGCAAACAGGATATTCGTGACAAAAACATCCTATTCCTGCTAAGACGCCCTTTTTGCCTCGCAGACATGTCCCACGGTGACACGAAACGACAGCCAAAGAGGAAACCACCATTGTGCTGTTGCTCCACCAGTTTCCCTTAACACAGGGAGCTGTAGTGGTGAGCTGCGGTCAAATGAACAACCTTCATTTAATAGTGAAAAATAAATAAATAAAAAGGCTGAAGAATTAAATTTGACAATTAAGAATTATTTTCGCAGTATTTCTTTAAGCTAAAAAAAATGTAATCTTAAAACTGTTAATTCACAAAATAGCTAAATGTTCCTGTCACGTATGTGACTACCAAGACACTGACTAATTTGTATTAGCATGACAGAACAAACGCAGACAACGGTGGTTCACTTGGAAGGCTGGTTCTTTGGTTCCAGTGAAAGCTTTTAGGTCACGTCACACCCCACGGGTAAAGGAAACAGAAACCAAGGAGACAAGTGAGTCAGACAGATATAACCTGTACTTGGAGTGGAGGAATTCACATTCCCTGTAGCGCTGAGTGTGATACACACCCACACAGGTCAAGTGTTTCCGAGTTAGACGCAAGTTCCGAGTGATTAAATCAGGACTTATTTGAACCTGAACTAGTTCTAACCAGTTGCCTGACCACTTACTGTCTCAACAAACAAAAAAATACACTTTTCAGAAACACCAGGACAAACGCACGAGGCCCTCGCTGTGAAGTAACATGCCATCTCGCATTAATACATTAAGCTGAAGCCATGAGTCCTAATCTCGTGCGAGGCACTAAACCTATCCAACTGGTTTCTGGGAGCCAATGGCAGCTGAGTAGACTGAAAGTCTGGCTCTGCTTTTGCAAATATACTGCTTGATTCTTGTAGTGTGTATAGCTTTTGTAGCTTTTTAGCATCATTGTCAGCTGTCAATATTAACTGTGCCTACTTCAAGATTTTATTAGCCATTACAAAAATAAATATGAAGCACAAAGTAAACAACTGAGCCTCTAGGGCTGCACAAATCTGTATAAACTGTCAATATGTCAATAAAATGTACCCAGTAATTGGGATTCAGTGAGTGAGCTCTTTCAGGACGTATTTTTAACAGTAAATGTCACATAAAAGCAGTCCACTGAAATGTGTTTCACATGTTCACTTTTAGTATATTATTATATTTATATAATAAGTCATTATCAAAGAGAACATGGAAATCGTCAAAACATTTTCAAATTTAGTTTACAACTTGTGTCTAACAGTCGCGCTCCAGTGAGGACAGAGTTACAGTGGGGGGAAAGTAACCTGTTGCACATTAAGAGGCCATACAAATGAAAAGCCGTTCATGCCAGCCTGCATGCTATGTTTTGCTCAGCAGCATTAAAGACCTCACTCTCTTTGATAATGAGACCCATTGTTGCTTCAAAGCCACTCTGCAGCTAAAAGGCCAGTGATCAGTGGTGTGAGGGTCCATCTGAAGTCAGCAAGCATTATCACAGAGAGGTTCTTAATCAGTGCATCTGGACACTGTCAAAGAAGCACTTTGCAGCCTGGCTTGGCCACTCCGTCTTAATCTCATAAGGCTTTACTCCGTCTGCGTCACACTATAGGGGCTCCTAATGCAGGCTCTCTGCGACAGCATCATATTTCACACGGTCTTTGATTGGAATTGGTTTTCAGACCACCAGTGGAAATCACTGAAGTCACTGTTTAAAGTAATGAAACACAACACTGTCCGAAGAGGACTCAGATGCTCTGTCTTTTGA